TAAATTTTGTGTGTATACAGATACAGACTCCCCACTATCTATTCTTGTTTATAAAAAAAACAATCAGATAATTTTTTTTATTGTACAATGATGTTCTGGAAAGTTCTGAGTACAATCCACTTCCCAAAACCTGACCAAATATCCTTTTTTTAATCCCTTTTTGTTTAGGTCTTCACCTGGCAAACACTTTTAAATGAGTAAGTAAGATTCATTGTCATACTGAATTACCATAAATTTAATGGGTGACAGTTGTTCAATACTGTCTCTTCTCTTTTATGATAATCAGTTTGATATTTTTCTTTTTTATATTGAATAAGAGAGCACTGAAAAGTTCCCGATTTTGAAAGTCTGACCAAATAAAAGAATTTCCTTTGAATTGATTCTTATTTCAGATCTTGGCCAAGAAAAATGATCAGATTCTTTATTTCTATTAATCAGCCAAAAACTCTATTTTTGTTTATAAAAACCAATCAGATATTTTTTCTTTTTTTATTATAAAAATAATATTATTAGGGTGCACATAAAAGTTCTTATCTCAACCCATTCCTAAATTCAGACCAAATAATCAAATATAATTCTTTTTTTGAATCCCTTCTCATTTCAAGCCTTGGACTGGCAAACACTTTAAAATGACTTGCTAAATTTAACAAATTGCTTTCTTTATGTTTCAGATACAAAACTGAGCAGATATGCCTTTCAAAAAATCTGAACATGTGAATGTGATTTAAAGATAAGTAGAACCATGCTTGATTGTGATGCTCTTAGTAACTAAGAAGTTAAAGCACTCCAGATCAGACGTTGGCTTCTCATATCAGTGGGCAGATTTTCTTGTCTTACTAAATTATCATAAATTTAAGTGGTGGGTGAATTTAGTTGTTCAATATTGTCTATCATCTTTTGTGAGAATCAGTTTGTTTTTTTTACACAAGAGCACTGAGAAGTTCTCAGCTTAACCAGTTTTCCAAAACCTCACCAACGGATCAAATAGAAGATTTATTTTTTTGTTATTCACTTTTTATTTCGGGTTGGCAAGCATTTTAAAATGACCAGATCAGATTCTTTATCTTATTGAAATATTATAAATTTAAGTTGGGAGTTGGGGGAACTTAGTTGTACAATATTGCCTTTTTTTTTTTTTTAGTTCAGGCAAAACAAGACCCAAGGGCCACTCAAGGTAAAGGGTTATTGAGAGAGATTGTAAGGAAGAGGGAAGTATAGTGGGATAGGCATCCAACCATCTGAAGAAGGCCGGAGCGTACAACGGCCGAAACATTGTAATAAATATGGTGACAAAGATGTGGATAATAGTCTGAATGATATAAATAGTGGCAAATCTTCTCATCATAAATTTGATAGGTCATCCATTGGATCTTTGGGACTGCAGTGATTCAGTTCAAATGTGGTGAAGAAAGCATAACACAACTGATGACACCAGAATCAAAAAGCATTATAATTCTGAAGTAATATAAAAATATATATAGAAATATGATGAGAACAGAATTCCAATTTGGAAATAACTATTAAATTATCAAAAGGGTTTAACTCATTTTGATAAAGTGATTTATTTCCATTCTAAGATTAAAAAGAAAATAAGCAGAATAGGTTCCTCAAGATTACCTGCCTTTATAGAACCAGTTCCTGGAAATTTTGGATGCCTTTATTGGTTGAATCTAGCTAATTCAACAGTAAAACTTTGAGACCTAGTTACCAATCTAGTAGAAGACTTAAATCCATGCAGTCATGGCACAAAGGAGGAAATATCAATAGAAGAATTGCCATGAAAATATCTGTAGAAAAAAGAGGGAAAAGCCATGTCATGTTGGTGAGAATGTGACTGAAGATGAGATGCCAGGTCAGAATGATTTTATTATAGATTCTTTTTTAAATTTTGTCAAGAATCTCAGGATATATAGTAGAAGCACAAGACCAGACCAAATGATCAAATATAATTTTTTTTCAATCGCATCTTGTTTCTCATCTTAGACAGATCAGTTTCCTTATCTTATTGATTTGCTATAAATTTTACAAGGAAGGTCTTGCAGTTCAATACTATCTCTTCACATTTCTAAAAGCCAGCCAGATATTTATTTTCCTTGTTTTTATCATACAAGGAAAAGTTTCTGAATTGTGCTGCTTTTCAAAATCTGACCAAATGACCAAAGATAAGACTTTTTTTAATGACTTCTTTGTCAGGTCAATAAGTTTTCAGCACCCCCTTTGTAAATAAAGTTGCTGAAAAAATTTGCATAGAGTCTATATCTATTGTAGCTGTTAGGCAGACTACTGCTAATGTTGGTGGGTGATAAGAAATCTAGAAAGTTCCATGTTTATCTTTGAACTCTTCTGTATTCAGGAGGTGGAAAATACCAACTTCCATATATGCTAGTTGGCAGAGATGATAAAAGGAAGAAAAGGGGGGGGAGAGAAAATAGAAAAATAATTAATGAACCAGAAAACCAAAAAAGAACTACAAATGAGACATCACACTGGGATGAAGGTGTCCTACAGGTTGAGTATCCAAAATTTGAAAACCTCCGAAATCCAAAACTTTTTCAGGTACTGACATGACTTGCCACAAATAGAAAATTTCAGAAAACAACATGGCTACCCATAACATGATTATTGTGCTACAGCATTACAAATAAAATGTTGAATTTTTTTTTTTTTTTGAGCATTACATGACTAATGTCATTACCTGTATCTGTATGTAGACAAAATTTATTAAATTTTATATAAAACTATTTTCTGGGTATATGAATAACATATTTATCCTTGGCTTTCATTGCCAAGCTGCCCTATTTTATAGATTTATATACAAATGAAATAGCCTGTTTTCTAAAATCTGAAAACTGAAACACTTTTAGTTCCAAGAATTTTGGATAAAGGATTCTCAACCTGTATCTGACTTCAGACAGACATAACTACATTTTGTCTCTCAATTCGGACAGAGTGCAACTCACTTGTCTGTGGAGTTAGCACAAGTAAAAATATTACTCAGAGGTGCCCTGTCTTGAGAAACAGCTGCCTGTGGCAGCACCTCCCTCATTGCACTAAAGAGGGGTTATCAATAGAAATACTGATACCAGTGCGACCAACAAGGTTTAACCTGGACCAAGTGCATATGCTGGAGCTCCTCACTTTAAACCGACCTTATGCCAGATCCTGCCAGCATAGGTTGGCAAGTAAATACTGTCACACACCTCCACAAACTTTTGAACTGGAGTAGAGGTTTATCCCTGGTTTCCTGTTCATAATTGTCTTTCCAGTTCCTTCTAAAGACGACTTCAACTCTATACTTCTAGCATCTCTGACTAAATCCTGAAATTTTATTTACTATTTATTTTTAATTTTTTCTCAATAGGGGTAGATAGGTTTGCCTATTGTCCAGTTCACACTCCTCCATGTTCTTTTAAACAAGAGTAGAGTCTTATCCCTTTTTTCCTGCTTAAGAGTGGGTTTCCAGTTCCTTATAAATTACATTTTAACAATCAATTGTGTTTCTGTCTTTGGGCAGAACATAACAAATAAATGAACGATGCTTGGTTCCAATCCTGCAACAGCACCTTCTTCATTGCAGCAAAGAGAGGGAATCAGTGGAATATTAATGTCAGCACAACATTGGTTACTGCGACGAGGCAATTTTTGGCCTGAGCTTGGATATTCAATAATGCATCTTGCCTGCATTAATTTCAAATCTTCTTATTAATAACTGAATTGTTTCTTTCCAGGTAAACTGATAACTGACTTCAAAAGAAAACTTCAAAGTAACTAGTAGCAACATTTCTTGAAAACGAACAAAATTTGGCATCAAGGTGTTATCATCTACCTGCAGAAAGAGGATTTAATCCCCAAGGACATTCATGCTGACATGGTGGCCATATTAGAGGATGATGCTCCAGCTTTATTAACAGTGCAAAAGTGGGCAGCTGAATTTAGGAGGTGAAATGAGAGTCTTGAAGAAGACCCAAGATATGGACCTCCTGCAACTGCCACCACTGAGGAAAACATGATTGTGTTCACCAATTGGTGATGGATGACAAACAATTGACTATAAATCAAATAACAAATGCTATTAGCATATTTCATCTGCAAGGATTATGAAGACCTCAGTTTTTTTGGATGTAAAAAGCATTGTGTTTATTGACTATCTTCAAAAGGGCCACACCATCAATGGCGAGTACTATGCCAACTTGCTGAGGCAGTTACAAAAGGCTATCAAGACCAAATGCCCTGGAAAACTGATGGTGGGTCTGGTTTCACACAAGTTCTTTATTTCAATGGCTGCTGTGCATGAGTGTGACTTTGATCACCCTCATTATTTTTCTGAGTTGGCCTCATCTGACTATCATCTGTTCCCCAACATGAAAAGACAACTGGCTGGGAACCAGTATTGCAGTGATGATGACGTCATATCTGCTGTCATTGACTCTTTGACCAACAGGATGAAAGCTTCTTCACCAATGTGATTGAAGCATTGCAACTCTAAGAGAAAAAGTATGTGGACCACAAGAGGGACTATGTTGAAAATTAAACCTCATTTGGTCACATTCCATGACAGTATCTTGGTCAGCCTATGAACTTTATAGTTGACCCTCATAATTGTTCTTTGTGTTGAAAGTCCTCAAGTGACAGTAGGACTTTATATTAAACTTAAGCACCAGGATTCCTCTGTGGTGTGTCTCTTTAGAACATGAATATTGCATAAAACTCATCTTAGATGATTCTAAAATTAATTTACCCTCAGTGAAACCAGGTACAGCAGTAGTTTAACTTGAGAGTGAGCCCCTAACTACTAGTAAACAAGACATCAACACAGAGCATGTGAAAAATCAAAAAATCTCTGAAACGTGAGGAAAGAGTATTCGAGATTTTGAAACTCTGAAGGTATAGTGAATATAAAAATTTGAATTTTGAATTTGATTCGTTTTTTTTAAAGTTTATGAAAACTTTGCAAATTGTTTAAAACCAAAACATATTTGGGATTGTAAGAGGTTGCTTACACTAACTGGTGTCCTCAAGTAGTCCCTCATCTAACTACTGACCAGGCTCAATGCTGCTTAACTTTGGTGATTGAATGAGAACTGGTGTTTTCAGCATGACCGAAGGCAAGAGGATGTACAGGAAAATAGCAAGTAACATATCTAACAAGTATATGCAAATGGATGGCAGAACAGTGACTGGTAGGGATACTAAACAAACATTGTTAGACACTACAAAGGATAGAAGTTGTGGAGAGCCATAATCGAGCATATACTGAAGGGACAGCATATAAAAGAAAACTGTTGAAAGTAAGAAATGACTGGAAGCTGTAAAGAACTGCATTCACCTACATCAGGATTCTATCAAGATAGATATGAACAGACTGAGATAGATAGATGGATAGATAGATAGATAGATAGATAGATAGATAGATAGATAGATAGATAGATAGATATGAAAAGATTGAGATAGATAGGTAGACAGATAGATAATAAAGAGATAAATACATATGAAGAGATTGAGATGGATGGATGTTGGATTTAATGGCATGTCAACTCCTATTTGAGATTGAGATGGATATATATATATATATAATGTACACTACATTTAAAAAGTTTGAAGCAACCCTCAGAATTAGCATGTGATGAACTTGACAGAAGAGTGATAAAATAAATGAAAAAAAAGCTCTTAGAGTCATTGAAAAAAGAATGGAATCAATTATGAGTTATACTTTGAGAAATTTTGCAATGAATGCCAAAATTTTGTGCTGCAGTAATCAAGGCTAAAGGAGGATGTTTTAATGAGCAAAATTTAATCTTTTTGGATAAAATTTCTAAAAAAATCATGCCTCACTTTTTTTAGCCATGTATAATAGATAAAATACAAAAAATACTTTTTACTTTTTTTAAAAAATTACCATGGGCAATCAAACTTTGAATAGTTTATCTGAAGTGATGAGATAGATAGATAGATAGATAGATAGATAGATAGATTATGAACAGACTCAGATAGATAGATAGATAGATTATGAACAGACTCAGATAGATAATGAATATATTGTGATAGACAATGAACTGAGATAGATAATGAACAAACTGAGATAGACAGATAATGAATAGCTTATGATAGATAGATAAATAGATAGATAGATAGATAGATAATGAACAAACTCAGATAATAAATAATGATAGATAGATAATGGATACATTATGATAGATAGATAGATAGATAGATAGATAGATAGATAGATAGATAGATAGATAGATAGATAGACAAGGAACTGACTGAGATAGATAATGAACAAACTGAGATAGATAGGTTAATAGATAATGAACAGACTGAGATAAATAGATGAACAAATAGATAGATATTAATGGCAGAACAGTGCTGAAAACATAAAACCAAAAATATTACACTGTAGCTGTCATGAGGGAATTGCAGCCACCTAATAATTCAAGAAAAAACTGATGGAAAACTTAATAAATCTTCCAAATGCCAAGACACAAAAAAGATAGTATGATTCTAAAATGAAGCAACAAGCCGTGGTTATGTTTGCTGTTTGTAAAAGCCTGGAACCTTCAATAATTCTCCAGGCAATACTTGAGTTTATTTTAATTTTATTTTCAATTTATTTTCTTTCAAGGAAATGTTTCCGCTGACAGCAGTTTGCTGATAATTTCAATTCTTCCTTGCATCATTTTCAGTTTTGAAAATTGTATTTCCTGTTTAATAAAATTAAATGCAAATAAAAGTTGCATGTAATGGATTAAAATCTCGACAAAAATGATTTTTTTTTTACCTACATGGACGCACAAACATATGAACATTTATGCCTGTTTGTACTTATCTCTGTACAGATATATGCGAAGAGTGAATTTTCTTTGTTGCTGGTTCATTTTGTTACATATAAATATGAAATCAGACTGGGGTCTTTAATCAGACCCTCAGGCAATTGATAGATAAATAGATAAAAATACTTATGTGTGGGCATAGATTGTCAGTGAGAAATAAATAAAGAAACATTTAGAGAGATACATTGATAGAAGAGAGATAAATATAAGCAGAAAAAGTTAAATCAGTGTAAGCTCAGAAAGAAAATAAAGATATATATATGTGCATGTGTCTATATATATATATATATATATACATGCCCATATGCACACATACAGACATAGACACACATAGAGATGCACAAACATGTACAGAGAGAAGAAAAATCAATCTAATATAAATATAAAAAATTGCAGAAATTATTTTTTTTAACTTAATATAAAAATAATGAAAACTTGAAAATTGACAGACATCCACTGATACCTCCTTAGGAATGGACTGAACAATTAAACACAAAGTTTTTTTTATGAAACTCTGGAGTCGAGGTACTAAATGTAAGATCAGCTAAGTAAAAACCGATCACAGTTGCATTAAGTTTGTCTTCAAAATTCACCCCTGAGGATGACCTTGGAGGAGACAGAAAGTACTTGGGATAGTAAAAACTATGGTGCCTTCCGTGATGAATTTCAAATTAACATCAAGAAACTGATTAGAGAACTAGAAGAGATTATTATAAAAATAAACAGACATAATCTGTCTCTATTATTCAATGAAACATGCTTGAATAGAGATATACCCAACCAAATATGCACATATATATATATATATATATATATATATATATATATATATATATATATATATATATATTATTTCAAATGTTATTTTTAGGGAATACACATTTGAGTAGACACCCCATTTTTTTTTTTTTTTTTTTAAATTTTAAACAGTATTTATTTTGTTAACCAACCTGAACACTTGAGAAAATGAGTCCTCTAGCAGGATTTGAATCTGTACCCCTCTTTGGAAGAGAAATCATTATCTGATTCACTGTGCTTTAATTACTCAGTTACTAAGTGCTCCACAATCAATCAAGGTTCTGTTTCCCTTTAAAATACAATCACTCAATCGGATTTAATGAAAGGCATATCCAAAATGCACACAAAGCAAATTGTTAAAATTAGCTGAAATCCTTAATGACTAACTATAATATGTGTGTGTGTATATATATATATATATATATATATATATATATGTGTGTGTGTGTGTGTGTGTGTGTGTCCATTGGATATATATATATATATATATATACCAACTCAAATTCAATGCATGAGGGTCAAGCAGATCAGTTCCCAGGAAACCGCCAGCCCGACAACAGCACATGAGATTTGGTTATAATGGTGAAGGTTTCGTGCAGGACCATCCACACTTTTTGAAGGGCCGATTACAGAGACCTGGTGCACTAAGTGCCACAAGGTCCCCAAACAACCCTCCGCAGGTTTTGAATTCAGAGTTGTCCTTCTCTTAGACCAGGAGGAGGCATGGTGGAGTAATGGATAGCGGCTTGGATTGAGGAATTGGAGAGCCGAGTTCAAACTCCATTCGAATCCATTACATTCACTTACATGCTAATACCTATGGGAAAGGTGTGAATTCTCTTCTTCTCCCTCCAGCTATGGGTAAATAACAGGACAGACCGAGGATATATATATATATATATATATTATAATAATCCATTGGTATGTAATTGAAGTGAATCCTAATAATATAAAATATTAAAACTGATCCATAAAGAGAGCTCAATGTATTTATTATAACAGTGCATATGCCAATAAATAAATTATATAAAATAGAAATTCAATATTACACCATTTGAATAGCTATTTCACCCTACAAGAGCTTCTTTTCAGGATTTGTCAACACCAAGTTAAAAAATAAAATAAATCTAAATTATTTTATTTATTAACTTCTTGTTGTTGGCAAATCTGCAAAGAAGCTCTTGTGGGGTGAAATAGCCATTCAAATGGAGTAATTTTGAATTTCTATTCTATTTTATATATATATATATATATATATATATATATTGGTTAAAATTAGCTATATTTATAAGAAAATAGTGCTCAATATTGAAGAGCATTCATAGATGTAAACAGTTTGAAGATCACAGAGAAATATGAAATTGGTAGTCACCATGCAATGTCTCTATAGACAGAAAGAAACATAAGCATATTAATCAAAATTGTATGATAACTGCCACCATAAGCGATTACTGTGGTGAAATAGGTCTTGCCAAAACCGTGAAGATTTCTAGATATTGGCCGCAATATTCATTACAAAGGCAATTAAAAACTAAAACAAATGTTGACAGAAAAAAAGCTGGAGCAGCAAAAGTAACAACTGCTGTTGTAGATAAACACTTGATTATTGAAAGTAAAAGAAAGTTGACAGCTGAATATAATTCCTCTTAACAACAGCAACCAGTGTCACTCTCGACTGTGAAAAATCAATTTAGATCAGTGGGTGCATAGCCATTAAGAAACCCCTGATATGTAAGATGACTTCGAAGGAAACAATGTGATAGGCAAAAAAGCATGAGAACTGGACATTGAAAGAATGGCAAAATGCATTGTGGACACACAAGCCCAAATTTGGATATTTTGGTAGTGAGAGGAAATTCAGGACAAAGACTGAATGATGAATGTGTAGCTCCAACAGCTATGGATGGTGATGGGTCTGTTATTGTGTATGTTTTGGGAGAGGTGAAGGAAATCATGGATAAGGAACAATATCATTCAATTTTAAAGAGACATGCTATACCATCAGGATAGATAGATAGATAGATAGATATGAAAAGACTGATATAGATTGATAGATAGATCTGAATAGGCTGAGATAGAGAGATAGATAACATACATCCTAAGATAGATAGATAAGCACATATTGAGATAGATAGATAGATAGATAGATAGATAGATAGATAGATAGATAGATAGATATGAAAACTGAGATATATTTATATATATTTATATATATATGAAAGATTGTGACAGATAGATAAATAGATGGAGACAGAATGAAATCGATATATATGAAGATTGAGATATTAATATATATGAAGGATTGTGATAGATTTGAACAAATTTAGATAGATAGATAGATAGATAGATAATAATAATAATAATAATAATAATAATAGCTGGCCACTCATATTCAAGGATACCTGTCTACTAAGGAGGCTAGCCAATCCCTATTGCAGACTCTCACTCAGGCACATTTGTGCATGTTCAACACCCACAGAGCCAAGCTGTGGTTTATACTGCAACTATGCTGAGCAGACCTTAGTTACAGTTTCTGGGAGAGAGTGTGTTATTTAGCACATTCAAACCCTCAGTCACAATGTCTTGTGACTTCGTGCTAGCACAGCTATCAATGGCCTCCAAGTGTTCTGTCTACTCAATTTCACACACAAGGCTTGGGTCAACCTGTGGTATGGTTTTCAGCCTCTTTCCAAAGGGGCTGCACACTGGGATATCCCCCTCCAGGCTGATAACATCAGAAAGTCTCCTTCCTGATAAAATAACCATGATAGATAGATAGATAGATAATGAACAGATTGAGATATATTTATATATATATATATATATATATATATATATATATATATATGAAAGATTGTGATAGATACATAGCTGGATGGTTTAGATAGATAGATATTGGCTCAGAATAAATGTTTGAAGTACTTTTAATTGAATTTCAAAGAGAATACTTAGATATTTGTACATAGATTACTTTAACAACATATGTAATATTTTTTTCAACCACCTTTTGCCATATTGGAGACAACTTCATGATTCCTCTTCCCTCTTTTATAATTGCTATTTTGTAGTAATATGGACATTCACTTTTCTAGTTAAGTGTACATGAATTTATGCTGGTAGGTTTTTTTATATGGCGAAATAGTAAATTTGTTATTATTTGTGTTTATCAATATGTCAAGGAAGGGAATTTTATTATTAGTATTGAGTTCATACGTGAATTTAAGGACAGAATTATTTTGGAAACGTTTTTGAAGTTGAAGTATTTTATCTGTATTTTTAACTAACATAAGGATATCATCAATATATCGGAGATAGATGGAAGGTTTTTTAACATCTGTAAATATCTTATTTTCGAGGATCAGCATGTAGAAATTGCTAGTACTGAACCCAAGGAGACACCATCACGTTGTATATATATATTATTACTATGATCTAAGAAAAGGATTTCCGTAGTACAAGCTAATAGTATTTTCCGTAATATATTCGGATTGATTTTAAGTGGGGGTAAAGATGAGATACTGTATATATTTCTTATAATTATGTCAATAGTTTCACTAACAGGGACATTGGTAAATAAGTTTTCACCATCCAGTGAAACTATGATTTCATTGTTGGGTTTTTCAGTTTTTATGATTTGGATTACTTCGAATGTCAACTTAACACTATATTTACTAGGAAGTTAAGGAGTAATGAGTTGATTAATGTATTTTGTTAGATGATATACAGGAATTGAAATTTGTGATATGATAGGATTGAGAGGATAGTTAGGTTTATGTGTTTTTATAGTGCCGTATATGTAGCCAGGTCTATCATCACCAACAATTTTAGGAAGTTTTAAAGAGTTTACATTTTAGTTCTTTGAAATTTTTATACAACAAAAACAGACCATTATCGTTTTTTGAAATTTTGGTATGTGCATATATATATATATATATATATATGAATAAATATATATATATATTAATGAATAAATATATATATATATATATATTAATGAATAAATATATATATATATATATTAATATATATATATATATATATATTAATGAATATATATATATATATATATATGAACAAATATATATATATATATAATAATGAATAAATATATATATATATATATATATATATTAATGAATGAATATATATATATATTAATGAATATTAAATATATATATATATATAATGAATAAATATATATATATATATATATATTAATGAATAAATATATATATATATATATATATATATTTAATGAATAAAATATATATATATATATATAAATATATATGAATAATGAATATATATATATATATATATGAATAAATATATATATATATATAAATATATATATATATATATATATAATATATATATATATATATATATATATATATGAATATATATATATATATATATATATATATATATATATATATATATATATATATATATATAATGAATATATATATATATATATTAATGAATATATATATATATATATATATATATATATATATATATATATAATGAATATATATATATATATATATATATATATATATATATATATATAGTAGCTGTCAACTCAACAATGCCTCAACAATGTACGACCATCACTGACATGTCCAGTCCATCAGTTAAACTCTCCCCCTTCCACAACACTCCATTCATTTGATGTGTGAATGACAGTGGCTCATAAAGCCAGCCATCGATCTGCATTTCTTGTTACATATATGGCATGTCAAATCATCTCCGGGTGGTGGAATTGACTTTGATCATCATCACTTCCAATGTGTCTTTTTATGTCTTGTCAAGCCTGACCTGGACTTGCACAAGCCAGGCATTCAAAGCATGACAATATGAAATTGTCATATGCACAATACTATTGGTGTTGGTGTGATTTCTGATGACTGAGCAGACCTGCCTTGGACAGACATATCCGACTGCATTGGCCACATGGCCAGGTTAGCACCTCATGGTAATTCAGGGATCCCTTCCAAACTCCTCTTTTCAGTTCTGTATATTATTGTGATGCCTCATGGAAGATCTTGATGCCATCAACAATACCAGCTCTCCAAGAAACCTGGTCTTCAGTTATCCAGATCAATATTGCACTTGTATAGTGAATCTTTGTAATGAAGTTTTAGCTTGTGCTGCAGTCTTTTTGCCATTTCCAACTCTCCATGCAATAATTGTTTTGGAATCTTGTTATCTGCCATACAAATAACATGGCCTGTCCATCACAATCTGTATTTATCTATAACTGCTTCCACAGAGAGTGAATTGGTCCTTTGTAGAACAACAGTATCAGGGATGTGAGACATCCAGTGGATTTCAAGCACAGATCGAAGGCATTTTTGATGAAAATATTCCAGTATCTTCAGATGTCTGTGATAGACTATCCATGTCTCACATGAATATAGCAGGGATGACATAAGGCAGGCATTTTATATTTTAATTTTTGTCTGCTTTTTTATGCTCTTCTGACTCCAGACATGGAACTTGAGTGCTGCAAATGCATCAGAGGCCTTCTTAATCCAAAATGCTATCTCATAATCAAGGAAGCAGTGGCCGCTGAAGGTGCTACCAAGGTATACAAATTTACCTACCATCCCAAGTCGACTACTATCAACATAAATTGATGGTTCTAAATACTGATATATTTGCTGCAAACCTAAGTATGTTGATAAGCTTGCCAGTTGACCTGTACCTTATAATACCATCATGGCAGTCCCTGAATGCATCAAGCAGTACAATTGCAAAGTAGATAGAAAACAGTGTAGAAGCCAGAAGATCTCCCTGCTCGACTCCATTTTCAATCTTGATGGGCCCCATAAGCATACCACCAAAACTGACAGAGGCTTCCATATCATCATGGAAGGACCTCAGAATCTTGAGAAAGTGGTGGTGGTGGGTGGGGCACAGTTACACACACACACACACACACACACACACACATGAAGGTGGGGGCGATAGGTAAATTGTTGCCATTTTATATTTTTTAATTTTGTGCATGTGTATTGTTTGTTTTTGATTTTGTCTACTGCAGAGCATAATAGTATCAGCTGGGCACCATATGTGAGAAAAAGATTACCATGATGCAATTCACTCCACCAGAAATTTGAAAATGGCATGCTGTACTGCTTGCATTTGCGCTGGAAGCTCGAATACAAACTTTTGGGTGTCAATCTGAGGACTGAGCACAGGATTTGGAAAGAGTTGGATGAGTCTTATGGTGATTACGAAGGTACAGCAGCTGGGAAACTCACTCTGATCATTCTGATAATAAAAGAACTCCTGATGTTGTTGGTGAGATCCAGTCCATGATTGAAAACGATCCCTCCAAGTCAATCATTTCCATAGCCAGGGAGATAGTAATGCCCTGGATCAAGAGGGTGGCTACTGGAACACCCCGTGTCTGGCAACAGGACTCTACACCATCCCACACAAGCAGAGAAACCCAGTGATGGCTGTCAGACAATTTCTGCGGCCACATCATCCCTTACATCTAGCCACCAAACCCCCCAGACTGCAACCCCTTTGATTATTATGTGTGGGGTGCAGTTGAGTAAGACACCTAAAAAACACCTTGTAACATGAAAGAATGAATTGAAAACAAGGATTATAGCAGCATTCACCAACTTCAAGAAGGAAACTGTCCAGAAGAGTTGCAGGAGATTGTGAAGTCATCTGGAGGCTGCGGTTGAAGCCGATAGCAATTTTATTGAATAAATTTACTCTTTATTATTTCAAGATATTTTTGTGTAATTTTGGTGAATATTTCTGTTAAAATGGGATGTCAGTGTTATTTTCATTTTGTGTAATTTAGACAAGAATTTATCCATTATAAGCTGTATATATATATATATATATATATATATATATACACAGGGTGGCAATAAAGTCACTATACAGTTACTTATAATAACAATTAAGACAAACCAATAATGAACAGTTCAGAAATTTATTATTAAAATGGTTCTGTTTAATCTGGTTAATAACAATAAAATGCTATGGTAAACAATAGTAAATTAATTACTGATACTGTTCAAACTGCAGGCCAACTGCTTCAATGCTTTGCTTTTTATTATAAGTAACTGTATAGTGACTGTATTTCTACCCTATATATATATATATATATATATATATATATATATATATTTATTTCTACATAGAGACAAATGGAAAACTTATCTTAGCCAATGCATTTTGTCCTCCGAGGGACTTCATCATGACATTTACGTTAAGAAAGTCCCTCAGAGTACAAAACATGTTGGCTAAGTTAAGTTTCCCTTTTGTCTTTATTGATAGTGTCTTTTCCAGATATATTCTATCTGAAAATTTTCACCTATATATATATATATATATATATATGTGTGTGTGTGTGTGTGTGTGTGTGTGTGTGTATTTTTGTGTTTTGAATTGTTCTAAGGGCTACTGAGTGGAAATAATTGTGGATCTGAATGCAGTATTTATAATGTTAATTGTTTTTATTTAATTTTTTATTTTATTGTTGATTGTTATTTCTACGTTTTCTTGTGTTTATCTGTGCATTTGTGGTTAGTTCATTTTTTACTTACTTAGTTTATTTACTTATTTGTTTGAATTAATTTATTTTACTTGTTATTTATTTTATTTATCTCTTTTGTTTATTCTTGTTCATTTTCAGTTTCAATTTTTAAGTAATCTAGTAAAAATTTGCTTTCATGTCAGCATTTTGAGATGAGTTCTGAACATTTATTTAGTAGTTTGTGTTGGTCTTGAAACGTAATTATAACTATTTTTTTCCTCCAGGCAGAGTTTACAGTTTTTGGATTTATTGTTGTAGGCTGATGCTGTTTTCCTTATTTCCCATTATATTTTTGGTGTGTTTTGGTTTTTGTTTCTGAAAAAAAAAAAATCACAAATCGTTTTCCATGGAAAATGTTCAGTCATGCTACAGTCCTTAGTTCTCCTAAGAAAGAAAGGAAAAGAAAGAAATCAGATGAAAATAAAGAGAGAAGAAGGAGAAAGTGTAAATAAAAGGATGGGTAGAAAGATGAGAAAAGAAAGTAAGAAGGAAGAAGTAAAAAAAAGAAAAGAAAAAAACAATGTGAAAAAAGGAAAAAGTAAGAAAGATAAGAGAGGACAGAAAAAAGATGTCAGGGAGAAGAGAAATGGAAAGTTTTTTTTTTTTATATATTTTAATATATTATATATGTATTTATACATCATGCAAAGTGAGTCAGATGCCATATATCCTGTCACTACAAGTGCATATATTTAAGTGGTAAAAATGCCTTGAAAATAAATGAAAAATAGTTTAAGAAAATTTTGAAAATGGTTTAATTCAAGCAGATTTCAAATTTTGGCCAACAATTCATTTTTTCATTTTTGTTCAAACAAATATTTTTTTTTTATTTGGCAATATGATAAGAGCAGGAGGATGGGAAAGACATTATGTAATTCAGTATTTAAAGGAAAAGATTGGTACAAAAGACATAAGATGAGGAGGGTGAAGAAAGAAAGAAAGAAAGAAAGAATGAAGGATGAGAAAGGATGAAAAGTGCATAAGAAAGAAAGAAAGAAAGAATTGAAAGAAAGAAAGAAAGAAAGAATTGGAAAAAAGTTCCTAAGATGAAGTGAGTGAAGAATGAAAGATACAACAGATAGAAAAATAATAAGAAAGAAAGAAAGAAAGAAAGAAAGAAAATGGAAGAAAGACATAAGATGAGGTGGGTGAAGAAAGAAAGATGAGAAAGAATGAAAAGTGCAACAGAAAGAAAGAAAGAAAGAAAGAAAAAGAAAGAAAGGCATAAGATGAGGTGAAGAAAGAAAGAAAGATGAGAAAGAATGAAAAGTGCAACAGAAAGAAAGAAAGAAAGAAAATGGAAGAAAGACATAAGATGAGGAGGGTGAAGAAAGAAAGATGAGAAAGAATGAAAAGTGCAACAGAAAGAAAGAAAGAAAGAAAGAAAGAAAGAAAGAAAGAAAGAAAAGAAAGAAAGGCATAAGATGAGGTGGGTGAAGAAAGAAAGATGAGAAAGAATGAAAAGTGCAACAGAAAGAAAGAAAATGGAAGAAAGACATAAGATGAGGAGGGTGAAGAAAGAAAGATGAGAAAGAATGAAAAGTGCAACAGAAAGAAAGAAAGAAAGAAAGAAAGAAAGAAAGAAAGAAAGGCATAAGATGAGGTGGGTGAAGAAAGAAAGATGAGAAAGAATGAAAAGTGCAACAGAAAGAAAGAAAGAAAGAAAGAAAGAAAGAAAGAAAAGAAAGAAAGGCATAAGATGAGGTGGGTGAAGAAAGAAAGATGAGAAAGAATGAAAAGTGCAACAGAAAGAAAGAAAATGGAAGAAAGACATAAGATGAGGAGGGTGAAGAAAGAAAGATGAGAAAGAATGAAAAGTGCAACAGAAAGTAAGAAAGAAAGAAAGAAAGAAAAAGAAAGGCATAAGATGAGGTGGGGTGAAGAAAGAAAGATGAGAAAGAATGAAAAGTGCAACAGAAAGAAAAAAATGGAAGAAAGACATAAGATGAGGTGGGTGAAGAAAGAAAGATGAGAAAAGAATGAAAAGTGCAACAGAAAGAAAGAAAATGGAAGAAAGACATAAGATGAGGAGGTGAAGAAAGAAAGATGAGAAAGAATGAAAAAGTGCAACAGAAAGAAAGAAAGAAAGAAAGAAAGAAAGGCATAAGATGAGGTGGGTGAAGAAAGAAAGATGAGAAAGAATGAAAAGTGCAACAGAAAGAAAGAAATGGAAGAAAGACATAAGATGAGGAGGTGAAGAAAGAAAGATGAGAAAGAATGAAAAGTGAAACAGAAAGAAAGAAAGAAAGAAAGAAAAGAAAGAAAGGCATAAGATGAGGTGGGTGAAGAAAGAAAGATGAGAAAGAATGAAAAGTGCAACAGAAAGAAAGAAAATGGAAGAAAGACATAAGATGAGGAGGGTGAAGAAAGAAAGATGAGAAAGAATGAAAAGTGCAACAGAAAGAAAGAAAGAAAGAAAGAAAAGAAAGAAAGGCAGAGGATGAGGTGGGTGAAGAAAGAAAGATGAGAAAGAATGAAAAGTGCAACAGAAAGAAAGAAAATGGAAGAAAGACATAAGATGAGGATGAAGAAAGAAAGATGAGAAAGAATGAAAAGTGCAACAGAAAGAAAGAAAGAAAGAAAGAAAGAAAGAAAGAAAGAAAGAAAAAAAAAAGAAAGAAAAGAAAGAAAGTCATAAGATGAAAAGAAAGAAAATGAGAAAGAATGAAAAAGTGCAACAGAAAGAAACATTTTCAAAAATGGAAGCATAAGATGAGGAGGGTGAAGAAAGAAAGAAAGATGAAAAGAATGAAAAGTGCAACAGAAAGAAAGAAAGAAAGAAAGAAAGAAAGAAAGAAAGAAAGAAAGAAAAGAAAGAAAGGCATAAGATGAGGTGGGTGAAGAAAGAAAGAAGAAAGAATGAAAAGTGCAACAGAAAGAAAGAAAATGGAAGAAAAGACATAAGATGAGGTGGGTGAAGAAAGAAAGATGAGAAAGAATGAAAAGTGCAACAGAAAGAATGAAAAGTGCAACAGAAAGAAAGAAAGAAAAAGAAAGAAAGAAAAGAAAGAAAAGAAAGAAAGGCATAAGATGAGGGGTGAAGAAAGAAAGATGAGAAAGAATGAAAAGTGCAACAGAAAGAAAGAAAATGGAAGAAAGACATAAGATGAGGAGGGTGAAGAAAGAAAGATGAGAAAGAAATGAAAAGTGCAACAGAAAGAAAGAAAGAAAGAAAAGAAAGAAAGGCATAAGATGAGGTGGGTGAAGAAAGAAAGATGAGAAAGAATGAAAAGTGCAACAGAAAGAAAGAAAGAAAGAAAGAAAGAAAGAAAGAAAGGCATAAGATGAGGTGGGTGAAGAAAGAAAGATGAGAAAGAATGAAAAGTGCAACAGAAAGAAAGAAAATGGAAGAAAGACATAAGATGAGGAGGGTGAAGAAAGAAAGATGAGAAAGAAATGAAAAGTGCAACAAAAAGAAAGAAAGAAAGAAAGAAAGAAAAGAAAGAAAGAAAGAAAGAAAGAAAGAAAGAAAGAAAGGCATAAGATGAGGTGGAAAGAAAGAAAGATGAGAAAGAAATGAAAAGTGCAACAGAAAGAAAGAAAATGGAAGAAAGACATAAGATGAGGAGGGTGAAGAAAGAAAGATGAGAAAGAATGAAAAGTGCAAAAGAAAGAAAGAAAGAAAAGAAAGAAAGAAAGAAAGAAAAAGAAAGAAAGGCATAAGATGAGGTGGGTGAAGAAAGAAAGATGAGAAAGAATGAAAAGTGCAACAGAAAGAAAGAAAATGGAAGAAAGAATAAGATGAGGAGGGTGAAGAAAGAAAGATGAGAAAGAATGAAAAGTGCAACAGAAAAGAAAGAAAGAAAGAAAGAAAGAAAGAAAGAAAAGAAAGAAAGGCGTAAGATGAGGTGGGTGAAGAAAGAAAGATGAGAAAAAAATGAAAAGCAACAGAAAGAAAGAAAATGGAAGAAAGACATAAGATGAGGAGGGAAGAAAGAAAGATGAGAAAAAGAATGAAAAGTGCAACAGAAAGAAAGAAAGAAAGAAAGAAAGAAAGAAAAGAAAGAAAGAAAGAAAGGCATAAGATGAGGTGACATTGAAGAAAGAAAGATGAGAAAAGAATGAAAAGTGCAAACAGAAAGAAAAAAGAAGCAAAAGAAAGAAAGAAAAAAGAAAAGAAAGAAAGGCATAAGATGAGGAGGGTGAAGAAAGAAAGATGAGAAAGAATGAAAAGTGCAAACAGAAAGAAAGAAAAAAAGAAAGAAAAGAAAGAAAAGCATAAGATGAGGAGGGTGAAGAAAGAAAGATGAGAAAGAATGAAAAGAGCAAAAGAAAGAAAGAAAATGGAAGAAAGACATAAGATGAGGTGGGTGAAGAAAGAAAGAAAGCTAGCAAGGAAAAAGATGAGAAAGAATGAAAAGTGCATAAGAAAGAAAGCAAGAAAAAAAGAAAGAAACATGAACGAAACCATGAAAAAAGAACAATATCATCTGGTTTATGTATAATTTGAAAAAAATAATCTTTCAACAAGAAAACAACTGAAAATGCTCTATAAAATTTTGTTAAATTGACCTCAAGTGAAAAAGTTAGTACAAAATTTTGGAAAAGTATGACTTGGCCACCACAATTTCCTGCTCTCTCTCTCTCTCTCTCTCATTGAATTAGTATAGAATGAATTAGATAGGAGAGTTTGAAGAGAATGCCCAAAGAGTGATAATAAATGATATTAAATAGTAAGCAAAATCTGCTACTCAGACTCTTGCAATCTGATATATATATATATATATATATATATATATATATATATATATATATATTGAACAGATGTCAAAATTCATTGAAAAATGCACCCCTACCTT